TTTTAAAAACTCTTGCTTGTTTCAAAAATAAGATTCCTACACAAACATTTTGAATTAAATGTACAGGGTGCTCAGAAACTAAAAAAAAACCCAAAAAACTAGAAGTGCGTTTTGTGGAAAAATGAATTATTTTTGAAAATATTTGATGGTTAAAAATTAAGACTTAAGACGGGTAGCGCAGTGGGTTAGGCGACTATGCCGAGTCAAACTGTGTCCGAAGGTACCGGGTTCGATCCCCGGTCACAGCCTTGGGTGTTGTGGGCGTTGAAAGTCGGTAGATAAGTCTAACTCATCGAGGACCGTGGTTCGGATTCCACGTTAAACAGTAGGTCCCGCTGAAGAACCGAACCTTATAGGCTTTGCCTGTAAGCTGGATAGGTTGATGGCGTTACTACTCTACTTTTATTATTATTATTATTATTATTATTATTATTATAATAAAATAATAATAATAATAATAAATCTTTATTAAATAAGAAATACTAATATACAATCAATAAAAACAATTATAAAAACGTTAATATTTCTTTAAATAAATTACACTGTATTTTAACACCCAATCTAATCTAACAATAATTACTTACAAAAAACACATGGCTAAATAAATACTACGCAGTAAAACCACTCAGCAAAACTGTTTATTACTTATGCTGCCTAAATGTGAAAAGTAGTTAATAGTTATTTAAAATTGAACTATTCAAAATTAGATTTTATTTTTGTTGTTACCCCAGAGAACCCGGAGATTTTATTTTGCGAAATCCAAAGCCCGGAGATTTTATTGCAAAACCCAAAGCCTGAAGGTTTTTATTGTAAACCTGGACCAGCTACCAAAAACCCACAGACTTCAGGTCAAACCCGGAGATCTGGCAACCCTACCTTTTATAGGTCTGCATTCCTCATTCAAGCTTCAAAGTAGGCCTTTTTATTATGTAATTTTTTAAAATATAGTTATCTTTTATTATAAGGGGTGTTTTTTATGTATATATATATATATATATATATATATATATATTCTGTAGTAGGCACATCTGTTCCTTAAGAACGTTTGTTTTCTAAAGCGGGAAATATATTGGATCCAAATGGAAACAGATTAAGTCCAACAAGATTATCAAATCTTGTATTTTTTAACTCGTTACCTTTTAAAGATTGACATTTACAATAACATAATATACCTAATACTATTACAGTTGTGTTCAAAATAAAAATATAGTAAAATTTCTTTTTTTTTTTAATTTTAATAAAACATCGATTATTTGGGCAACAATTTATTTCTGAATCGATTCTTGAGGCTTTGATTTAAATCGATTCAAAGAATCGATCTATTTGAAAAAATTGGTATCTCTAGTCAGAAGGTTACCGTCAACGGAGAGCGCTTTAGATCCCTGTTAATTGACTTTTTTGTTCTACAATTAAATGGCATTATAATTTCGCGTAATGGTCCTGTGAATTGGCATCCCTGATCCTGTGATCTCACGCCTCAATGATATTTATAAAACCGTTACAATTAAATATTTAAGAGCTTTTTTTTCAAAGATGGCGCTACTACTACCTTCAATTTGAAGTCTTTATTTCCATTCTACGAATTAAATAAATATTTGTAGATTTTATTAAAAACAAAATTTACAGAAATTTACAAATTTGTTTAATTTGTTTGTTTAATCCTGCGCATTGTCTAAAAGACGACCGTATTGTCACAATTGTAGACTGGCCGCGAAATCGTCGTTTTATATTCTCAATCTATGGTAGGGCTGCGATATAATTGCAGTGATAAAAGTATTAAAAATAAAATGCCAAAGAAAAAAAAGATGATGAACCTTTAATTAATATGTTGTAATTTTTTTTGTTAAGAATTTATTTTATGTTTTGTTTACTTTTATAAATAAATTTATTAAAAACATTTTTATTCTTTCTAATTGAATTAATTTTTGACCAAAACCTTAAAAGAAATAAATTAAAAAAATAAATATCAAGATGTTGATATATCGGATATATATATATCGATTTACAGGGTGTTTCAATAAAAACTCCCAGGCCAATTATTTCGAAAACTAAAAGCGCCATTTAAATTCTGTAAACGCCAGTTTTTAGCCTCACAAATGTGTAAAAATGTGTTTAAATAATACAAGATTTAGGTGGCGTCACTGTGCAAAGAATTTTTACGATGACAGGTACTTTAAAATTAATTTTTGATCAAATTATGTCCCATACAAATTTTTGATAAATCCGACATGAACGGAGATATTTGGGGTTAAGTTTTTTTTTTAAATAATTTTAAGGAGTATTTTAATTATAAATATTTTTAATATCCTTTAGCAGATCTTCATTTAATTCTGGTAGCAAATAAAAAGGTAACATAATAAACTTCGATTTTATGCTATTAAAAAAAAATAAAAAAATACACATTATTGTTTAAAAAAATGCAAAATTTTAAAAAATTTCAAAAAAAATTGCAATTTTTTTTTTGCAAAAACGGTATAGCCCACAGACCTACAAACAAAATGGACTGGCCTTTCCTATTCAAAATACACAATGTTTTGTTGCCAAGAACTATTTAGATTAGGGGTAAAGGGGTAAGGGGTATTTATAAACAAGTTCCCACACCAGTGGCGTTCTGTTTTTAGGGATAAATAAAAATATTAAATTGTACATTTTTTATTGTGTTTTGCAATCCTATGTAAAAATTATATTTAATATATATATAAATATATAGGTATAACAAAATACTAACCTTGTCAGTTAGTGTTCCAGATGATGTAGAATCTGGCTCTTTAAATATAAAATTTAAGTGAATTCATTTATTTATTCAGTTTCTACGCTCCTGGCAGGGTTTGTTTTGTAAATAAACTAACCTATGTAAAGAAAGTTTTAAATTCTTGGATCCAAGTCTTTTACAAACGTAGCACTGCTTCACCATTTTTATATCACTCACTATTGGGATTTTTCACTATAAAATCAAATAAAAAATATTAAATGTTGTGGATTCCAAGTATCTTTTACGTAAAATATAGAAACTTCAAAGTCAAATGTGACAACTGAGGGAAAATATTTATTTTTGTTCCTGGCCACTGTTTTCAATGTAAATAAACCGGTCCATCTTGTTTGTAGGTCTGTGGTATAGCCCATTGAAAAGTATGGAAAAAATCATTTAAGGAGGTTAAATTTAAATATTTAATAAAGAGATGAACAGAAGTTATGAATTTTTAAAAAGCGATTTCACCAAAAAGTAAAAAATCGATAAATTTCAATAATCCATAACTCTTGAATGAACAATCCTAGAGCAAAAAAATTTATGCTGTGATTCTTCGTTATAAGAATAACAAATAAGTAAAGTTTAAACAAAATCGGTGACAAAATTTTTTTCACCTGGTACACTTGGTAAATTTTGCCCCGTATTAGGCTGGAGTTTCTTAATCAATGATAATATAATATATTATAAGGAATAATAAATCAAAATCGAGTACTAAACCAAAGTTTTTTAGTTTTTACTTGCGAAGCGAAACACAAATAATGTGCGCGATTTAGATGTGCAATTGAACTAAATTTTTCGAATAACACTTTTGCCTTCCTCTATTTTGAAAAAAAATACCTATTTATTTAAAAATTATGTGCAGTTTGTATGCTTTAAAATGTATTGTTGAGAATTCTTAAATTTACACAATGGTATTGACCACTACCAGACTGCGCGCGCGTTGCGAAAACCCGATGCTTTTTTAGCGTGGTGCTAACTATTAATTAATTTTCGTAAAATTTAAAAAAGTAACGTTTAATTTTCTTAAAACTGACGTTTACATTTCTAAAGTTGTTTCAATTAAGTTAGTACGCTTACCAATTCAAGTTATTTAAGCTAAACTCTTGTTCACTTTCGCTTAACAATAAACAATTTTATTTTATTTTATTTTTTTATCGAGTGGTTAATAATGCTTCGATTGTATTCGCAATTGTTAATAATTAATGACATTCATTTCTCCCATTGTAAACAATCTTATTCCTTCCCCTGTATATATTCATTTCCTCCCGCTAATCAGGTAAGAAAAGTTCCATTTCCTCCCACTTCAGTGTGATTAACTTTGAATGTAAACGTCAGAATTAAATTAACCATCAGATTTATATAATTTTGACAAACGTTTTTTTGCGGGTACCCTAATTGTGTATTTTTAAGCGAAAGTGAGCATTTATAGAGTTTAGCTTAAATAACTTGAATTAGGTAAGCGTACTAACTTAATTAGAACGATTTTAGGAATTTAAACGTCATGACGCGTCAGTTCTTAAACGTTACTTTTTTTAATTTTTTAAAAATTTATTAATAATTAGCACCACCTTGCCTCGCGTGAAATTGCAATTACTCCCCCCAATGAATTCCTCACTCGCCTGTCTGATCGCTCGGAAACTTTCATCATCGGGAGTAATTGCTATGATTATAAACAATATACTAGTTCCTAACACATGTGTATAGTAATTTGTTTGGCTTGCCCAAACTCCGCTTTGCCCACTTGTTAGGAACATAACGATTACAGATTTTCCTGAAGGTTTTTGACTGAATCCGAATTCAGAATTGCGTAATAACTTAAGTTTTTCTAAAAATGTTAACCCAAAAGTGAAATAATTATGCTATATTACATCACAAGGTATTTTTTTCTTTACAAAATTCATTACATTAACTGAAAGTAATAGTTTTCCCCTTTAAAATTCCGTCTCTTCTTTGAGAAATCATTAGTTGGCTCAGGTAAAAATTTAAATCATTGTTTTGATCATAAATTTCAATAGAAAGGATTTTGAAGTGGAAGAGATTTTATTTTTCTTTTAGATGGAATAACTTGTTTTGTTTTTTTAGCGGAAAAAAATTATTTCGTGATGTAACAAAGTTTGGATTTGAATTCAGCTCATCAAAAACCTTTGAAAAGGTATTGTCTAATTTTTGTTATAGAATTTTTTTTGTAGACCCTTGCTATCGCAAAATAATTTATATTTCATTTTATTTATTTTAATTTTTACATTTTTAGTCTCTTGTTCGAGAAGCACCATTTAGTGATGAACCTGAGGCTATTCGAAATAGAGAAATATGTGATTATTCTCAGCAAATAACTTATGAAATGGCTTGTAGTGGAAGATCTTCACGTCCAGTTAGAGTTTATGCTGACGGAATCTATGATTTATTCCACCAGGGACATGCAAGGCAGCTTTTACAAGCAAAAAATGTTTTTCCTAATGTGTATCTTATTGTTGGAGGTAAGAAAATACTATTATTTTAATATTTTAATATAAAATTTACAAATACACAATAACTAAAAACATGAAGTATATTAAAAGAGTACTATCAAAATATTTGTTACACAAATACTCATTTACGTAAAATATGTATATTAATTTTGTAACTTTTTTCTTTTTGAATAAATTAATAAGATATATTAGACAGAGTGTGCCGAAAATGGCTCACTAACGTCACGGTACGCCACATGCTAGGAGGGATATTTTGAGTTTAATTTTTGTTTACAAGTAGTTTTTCACGTATTAAGCATTTAAGTTTAAAAAATCAAAAATCGTAATTTTATAAAGTTTTAATGACAACAAATTTTGAATTGTATAATATATGTATATAATTATATACTGACTGTATAGAATCAAGTAAGTAAGGCTAAATACAAGGATGACAAATCATACTCTGAATATTAAAGGAAAAGGAACAAACTATAAATAGGCGTGGTTTAAACCGTAATTACGAACCAGGTTGTTTTAAATCTGGAGAAAACGATTTTAATTCTTTAATAAAAAATTTAATTTTATTTTTCTGTAAACTTTAAAAATAACTACAAATTAATTAAATGTCAGAAATAAATTTGATTTAGTTAATTTTTTTACTTTTTATACGAGCCCTAACCACATAATGTTCGGACACTTCATAATTTATACAGAAATTTTTTTCGTGAATACTATCTCAAAATTATTAGAAGTTATGAAAAATTCAGCTTATTTTGGCATATACCCCTCGAAGCGATTTTTATTTTTAAAAAGTTTACCTTTTATTTTTAGCTTTTAAAAAAAGGCTAACTTTTTAACTTTTTTTTGTATGAGTAAAAAAAGTTATAAATGGACCCATTAAAAAGAGCATAAAATATTATACAAACCCTGAAAATTTGGTAAAAAATAAATAAGTTATAAAAAAGTATAAGTAATTTAAAAATGCTATTTTTAAAGAGTTTTTGCAATTTTCTTAGGAAACGGGAGATTTTGCAGATATATATATCGCTATAACTTTCTTATTATTTATACAATTTTTACCAAATTTTCAGGGTTTGTATAATATTTTATGTTCTTTTTAATGGGCCCATTTATAACTTTTTTTACTCATGCAAAAAAAAGTTCAAAAGTTAGCCTTTTTTTAAAAGCTAAAAATAAAAGGTAAACTTTTTAAAAATAAAAATCGCTTCGAGGGGTATATGCCAAAATAAGCTGAATTTTTCATAACTTCTAATAATTTTGAGATAGTATTCACGAAAAAAATTTCTGTATAAATTATGAAGTGTCCGAACATTATGTGGTTAGGGCTCGTATTAAAAAGTATGAAAAACCACCCTTTTGTGAAACAAAAATAGCATATAGCACGAGTGCATGCAGTTTAATCTTTGCACAGTAATTCAGACGCTGTCGTAGAGGAATGTTTATAGTTTTTAAGAAATAAATGTTCCCCATTAAGTGCAGAAATGCATTAAAACAAAACAAATTCCTTAAAAATAAAAACTATAAATTCTCAAATCAAAATAATTCTTAAACAACGAACATTTTTTTCTAAATTAAATGTTCAAATAAGTCTCCAGCAGCAGTTAAACAATACCCTAGCCTATCATAAAAGTTCCTGCGCACGTAAACAGCATTTCTGGACTAATATCTACCAATGTATTAAAGATTTGCACCCTGAATTTATTGAGATTATTGGCCCTGCGCTCTTAAATTCCATAAATTTTCGACTTGACCTATCTCCACAAAAAAAAAATTGCACGGAGTCAAATACGATGATCTAGGAGTTCAAAAAATATCTCTATAACGACCTATCACGTGATTCGGAAAGTTTTCATTTAAATATTCTGACAACCAAAGTATCTTGTGCAGGACAAGGGTGTTGCTGAAACCATATGGTTTCAAACGGAATTGGCAAATTTGGTGCCGAAACAATTTGATTAGTTGCTCCAGATACATTTGCCCATTAAGATTACCATCAATAACAAATGGCCCAATGATATGGTCTCTAAGAATGTCAGTCCAAACATTTAATTTTAGGGGGCGCTGAGTTCGGGCAGCATACACCTTGCAGGGATTTAAAAAGGATGTTTGGGATGAAATTAGATATGGGGTGTTTAATCATATAATATTTTGTAATTGAAAACTGCATGGGACACTTTGGAGAGGTAAGTATTTACAACCAAAACAGCTAGCCTAAAACAATATTATTCGTAAAGATATTATTTTTTAAGGAATTTAACAGATATACCTTTCCAAAGTGTCCTCTGCAGTTTAAACACACAAAGTAAACTAATTATAATTAGTCTACAAGTAGAAATATATTTTAATTAGCAGCATCAACTCCAAGAAATACTAAGCACGGCAGCCAAACATAATAAAACAGACACTGAAAACAACCATACAAGTAAAAAGTAAAGTTATGTCACACTGTTACCAGAGACAACAAAGCAATAATTTAAGATATTTAAATTTGAATGAACCGCGCTTCAAGCTGGTTCTTCCGGTAGCCAATAGAGTCGCCACCGTAACTATGTTTCCCACTTTTAAAAGGCAATCGGGCATTTTTTTGTGTTTATTTTTCTATGGTATAGGGCTATTTCAAAACAAATTTTGTATTAGGCGATACGATCTACCAGTGTGATGCCATACCATAATTTGGTATTTTTTCTTGCAAAGACGTACGCAAAGTCTCAGTGCACTTCTCAGATTGATCCACAGCCTGTGGACCACAGGACAAACCATAGAACGTCATGCTGAAACCGTGTAACGCCATCTAGTTCGCACGTTGACACTAAAGTTGGCGGTTGATTGGAATGTGCATTGATATTTAATTTATTTTTAAATTATAGAAAATCAAATTTTTGTGATAAATTTTATTTTATTGTAATAATGCGTTTTTGTGAAGAATAAAAAAGCTTTAATTATAGAAAAAAATTAAATATAACACAAAAATTTAGTATATGGTCAATTCTCATATAACTTGTTCCAATGCTGTATCCACTTATTTTTGTGAAAACTAATTCTCGCTCAAGGTTTTTTTTAGTGTAATAAGCATGTAGCATTCCAAGGTAATGGGGACTTAAATTATGACAACCCTAATCTATTAATTTTTTCCTAAAATGCAGGCTTTATATTGCAAATGTCACGTTAGTTACCGGTCACCAACTGCAATATCCTAACATCGATGAATATTTCAACAAAATGGCCGTTCAAACAACTAATGTTAGTGCTTGATTAACTAAAAATAGACTTAAGATTGACAAAAAATTATTTTATCCGAAATCGGCAGTAAAGTAGTCAACAATCGTAAATTAAAATAAATCGGCAGTAAAGTTCTACTTTTGCAACATAAAGCCTGCATTTTAGGAAAAAATTAATAGATTAGGGTTGTCATAATTTAAGTTCCCATTACCTTAAAATGCTACATGCTCATTACACTAAAAAAAACCTTGAGCGAGAATTGGTTTTCACAAAAATAAGTGGATACAGCATCGAAACAAGTTATATGAGAATTTACCATATATTGGAAAGTAGAATAGGTCCAATGATAACGTTTACACATATATTAGGCACATATTTATTTATAAAAGGCATATTTATACGTACATTAAAATTAACAATAAAAAAAATAAAACAATAACACATGACATGTATGATTCTTATTATTAACAAATTAATTATATTACTATTTGAAAAATAAAAATAAATTATGCAATTAATATATAAATTACGTATGCTATAAACAACAAATAATTTATTAAAATTAACTTAAATTTATGTAGTTGATTTATAAATAAAACAATATTTTATTGTAATAATAATATTATTAATAATTAATTAATAGTATGCATATTAACAATTATGATTACAATATAATATTGCTATACACTTACAGCAAAGGCTGTCTAATATTTGGTAAAAAAACACTTACCGGGTAGATGTAATGTTGGTATGGCTGTTGTTAAAAGTTCTTTGCAGTTTAACTGAATGTATTTTGCTTCAAAGTGTTTGTTGAAATGTTTTCATGAGGCAGGCCTAATAATTCTCTATTATCTGATTTGGAAATCCATTTTATTGTCTCCATATCATATTAGGAAACACTTACATGGGTTTTTCGTGAACTAAACAAGTAAAAACACAGCAGGGCCTCCCTCAATACATATCTACAAACAAAGACAAAACTATACTTTATTGAAAATCATCAAGTATTCATTAAAAACAAGCACAATTGCATAATTTTTACAGTTTGTTTAGTATTTAATATAATAGTAACCATAGATTTATAAACTACCTATATAGTTTATATACATATGTAACACAAAACAAAAATAACAGTGGTTTGTCCATTTCAAAATGAAATACAAACTATGTAACACAAAACAGTAATTTATAATGAATTACAACTAACCGTAGATTTTAAAGCTGAATTTGCTAGGTTAAGACATAAAATTTGCTAGATTGGGTCCCAGAACAATTAAAATACGAATATTATTGATACTTTGGAACTAAACAACAAATTCAAACACAACAAACATACACAAGCACTGCTTCAAACTACATGTGGCGATTATAACCTAAAAACTCTTTTGAACGTCAAAATATTCTACCCCGATATTTTTAAACCTTGATCGCTTTACTGTGATTGGTTAACAAAGTTGGCATGGTGCGCCACTAAAATTAAAATACGGAATCAAGCCATCATATAGCAGATTGCAGGCCCTGGACTGACCCACAGATCATACGACGATTATACGACAAGCAAAATTTCAATCTCCGCCACAGCGGGCGGGATTTATAGTTTGACACTCGTTTTATTCAATTTTATCTATATGAGTATGAGTATGGGAACGTATGGCAAGCCCCAGATATATTGTCATCCACTGATCTCCCGGGGTTATATTACCCCCTTTCCGTTCTCCTGCGTATCCTGCCAAATCACAGCATTACCTGTGTTTGTTGGATCCGAAGTTTTTACGCCGGCTGGTAGATCC